AAAAATTACACCAGGTTTCCAAAAACTTGACTTGTTTTCAAAAAAAAAAAAAAAAATTAAAATGAGGAGGTAAAAAAAAAAAAAGAAAAAAATTAAAATATTATGCAAGAGCCGACTGATAAAGACTTCCGGTCAAAAAAAAAAAAAAAAAAAAAATTAAATGGATAATTGAAGCAACAACAACAAAAACGAAAAAAAAAAAAATTTTTCCTTTTTTTCCTTTTCCTTTTTATTATAATCTATTTCGAATGATCATGCAATGTAATTTTCCTTTTTCCAATTTTTCTTCTTTTTTTTTTTCTTTTTTTTATACTTTTCCTTAATAATAAATGCATTTTGTGAGAAAAGAAAAGTCTTTTCCGCAACGGTTTGAGTTCAATAATATCCAACCGTTCCGAAATAAGTATAATAATAATAATAATCAACATCGTTATTAATATTTTTCCTCAAACTTGTAATTTTCCTACGGTTTGAACTTTGGTTATTTCTTATAAATTTTTTCGGTTATTTTTTTATTATTTTTTATATCATTAAAATCAAATTCACGCAATGCGTATACGCATATGTACGCATACCTATATATATATATATATATATTTTTTTTTTTATTGATTTTTAATGACTGATTTTCATTTTATTTTATTTTTATAGGTATCGTTAAAAATAAATAACACCGTAATTCTTGCTTAGATTTCTTTTTCTCCCTTACCCCCCTCCCCCCTCCCCCTACCTTAACGTTAACAAATCCGAAAAGTTTTTTTTTTTTTAAATGGTTTTAACTCTTTTTGCAACTTTAACTTCCGGTCGAAAATCGATAATGACCAAAACGAATATTTGGAATTTTTTTTTTTCTTTTTTCGTTTTTAGTTTTTTCAATTTTTTAATTTTTTATCATTTATTATTATTATTATTATTATTATTATTATTATTATTATTGGGAGGGGAGGGGAGGGAGATGAAATATAAATTTTAAAAGTTGAAAAATTTTTGGTCTAAACTTTGTTATTGGAGGAAGGAAGAGAATGAGAAAGAAAAGGAGAGAAAAAGAGAGAGAGAGAGAGAGACCCGGGGTAAACTAGAGTATTGATCTATTCAAAAGCTTTTTAATAAGGTTCTCATGCAAATAACAACAGCAACAGCCAAAGAAAGTAACATAATGTAATAATATTTTTAAAAATAACGCGTTTAAATGTAATTCAAAGAACTGGAAATGAGCGCCTCTGCCCCCCCCTACTTCATGTTTTATACCTATTAAAAATATATTCAAAAATCGTTATAAACCGTAACCCGAGTAATTTTTCATTAATTGTAATTTGCATTTATGATTTATGTTAAAAAATTAATGAGGTTTTAATTTTGTTTCGATAAATAATAACTTTTTTTTATGTTTAATAACAGTTATTAATAATGATGATAACGCTAGATAACTATAAGAAAGTGCGATTCTTAAAACCAAACAAGAAGATACGGCATTAAGATAATAAAACTCGTCGTCCTTACTAAAAGGTTACCGAAAACATTTACAAATAGCAAACGTTTGCTATGGGAAATACCCTGCGAATGCCTGGCACTGAATGAAAGGCTAAAGAATTTTACGGTCAAAACTTAACAGCAGAATGATATTAACCAACAAACGGAAATGTTGGACGAAGCGACAGGAAAAAGGATCCTAAATTACATAAAATACACACACACATTCGCGATAGCAAGATTAGATGAGGGGGATGATTATTAGAAATAATCTTTTTTTTTTTTTTAATAAAAATTAAGTTAAATTATAAATAGGTAATATCGAAATTAAAATCTTGGTAATGTTCCCACGTACAAAAAAAAAAAAAAATTTAAAAACCTAAAACCTGCAAAAAATTCTGGGGAGGGGAAAAACAAAAAACAAAATTAAAAAAAAAAATTTTTATGTGCACTATGTGAAGTAATTAAAAATTTTAAATGATTTTCAAGATTTGGGGGCTACATCACCCCTTAGGGATGAAAAATATATATATATTTAAACACTTTATCACTAAATACTAGATATTAAATTTTTTTTTTTTTCATTCAGGTACAAACAAGCAACGCAGCACAAAATTTTTATTTTTTAAAAATAAACCGGATACAGATAGATAAATATTTAAATATACAGAAGCAAAGGCAATTTTTTTTTCCCCCTTTTAAACCTTTCCAAATTATTATTATTACTTTTTTTTTTTAATTTTTTGTAAACTCATAAATAAGCTTATTTATTAAACCTGTGTTAAAAATAAATTAAATTTTCTCCTCTAAATAATACACACATAATAAATTACATGTGATAAATTTAAATCAATAATTTTAAAGAATTTACACACACACACACACTAAAAATATTTGAAATATTTTCTTTATTTTTTACCTGTTTCATAGGATTTTACATTGATATTATGTATAAATTTAATAAGACAATATTCAATTATTGATTTTGTCAAAATTTTATTAACTTTAAAATGATATTTTAAGCCAATAAACGACAACAAAAAAAAAAAAAAACAATTTTTAGTCAGTAATTATTAATAATATATATATAAAAAATCAATAAATGATTGTCTTTATATATAAATTTTTAAATTATTATGATAAAATAAAAACATAAAATTTTTGTTTGGATCAAGTATTAAATTTTATATAATTAATACATGGTTACATGTCACAAAAACTTTTTGTGACATTTTACTAAAAATTTTATGAATTTATTAAATTTCATGTGATTAATTTTCTAACCATAATTTATTGATTAATAAAGTTATAATGTAAAATAACTTTAGAGGGAATTATTTCTTCATATTCCTCCTCTCCCCCCACTCCCCTTACAACAACTATATATTACAGTTAAACAAAAAAAAAAAAAAAAAAAAAAAAAAAGAGAATTTGTGATTGATTGACATGTAAAATTTTTACTTAGCTTTACAAATAAACATTTTTATGAATTTACATGAATGCATTTTAAGTAAATAATGAGTTGGTGGGGTGGAAGTTGTGCATTTTGTAAAAAAAAAAACTTACCCCTACAGCTTTTTCACAATTATGTTTTACACTCGGGTATGAAATAAAATTTTTAGTTTGAAAAATATTCATTTGACTAATCAATATAGGATTTTATCTTGGAAAAGTATGGCACTGCATGATTTCGAAATCAATTTTCAGGTTACAAATTCCAATTTGCAACCGATTATTAAAATTTTAGATTTGTAACAATAATGAAAATGTTTAAATTGATGTATCATACTAACTAACTAGCTAACTAAATTGATGTATTCGAGTAAAATTACTTTTTCAATGTTACAACATGAGATTTATCAATTCGAATAAGCAAAATGGAAAATTAAGTTCTCAATTTGGGTAGCTAATGAGCCTTGAATGCCCATTTTATTTATAAAATATCATCATCATCATCATTCAATGAATATATTATATGAATATTAAAATAAATTTACCTTAAATTGTCAATTTCAAATCTATAAATATATAAAGTTTTTCAAATAAATCAAAGAATTTACAAAAAATAAAATAAAATAAATTGATAAAAAATGAATGAAAATCACAGCCTAGAGGAGCCCCCGTAAGGCGCTCCGTTTTTTAAAACTTGACATGACACTTTGTTTGTCACTACCACACAACCAAGTCTACACTAACAAAATTCTACCCTTTAAAATTCCTAGGTTTTTTTGATCGGAGACGCCCCATTCAACCCAACCTCACTACCAACAACAGCGCCAGGCCAGGGGAAAACTCGCTTGTAATAAGGACACGCAGAGTCAGACAGTAAAGGGGTCGCGTTAACGAATCAATAGGACGACGTTTTGTAAGGCCGCCACTAAACACATATACAACAACCATTTTACCTTTTTTCTCAAATAAATATGACTTTAAAATCTATAATTATTTTATATATTTAATTAATAAAACTCATAGATATGAAATACATAATCACCATTTGTCATTACCTTATTAATCGATAGTGCAAAACCGTTCAATTTTTATGATAAAAAACGAGTTGTTAATCTTTTTGTTTAAAAAATCAATTATTAAATTTATACTTGAGAATAAAGTTTGATTTATAACCAACTTTTATTTTTTAAATTATAAAAATCTAAAAATTAAACATTTTCAAAATGTCTAACGAAAATCTTATTTCGAGCAATCTATGTGTTGCTAAGGTTCAAAAAAAAATCATCGATAAAAGTTAAATTAAACGAAACTTACTTTTGATTTGACGTGAAACAAAAACTCCAAATCTTCCCCGCAAATAATTTTAACACAAAACAATTATAAACTTAAATTTTACACATGATATCGTCCAATTTTAGAATAAGAAAAAATTTTTTTTTGATTTTCAAAAATAACCAGTTGCTGAATATTCAGTATGACCTGCACTCTAGCGGTATAATATTTAACCAAATATTTGACCTCAGCTAAAAATTTTGCTAGTGTAAACTAATCCCCTACCGATTTTCAAACGGAAGTGAAACCAAAATCATTTTTTAAAAAAAATTTAATAACGGTTTTTTTTTTTTTTTTTTTTTTAAAACAAATACTCGGTATTTTTTGCTTTGAAATTCTTTCACAAATTAAAAAAAAAAAAAAATATTTTTAATTATTTAATAATTAATATCCTAAATCTATAAAATTAATAATAATATTTACACACACACACACTATATATAATTAAAAATTTTTTTTTTTTTTTTTTTAGCTCAAATTAATTTTTTATTACAAACGTTTTTGATAAAAATGATAACAAAAAAAAAACATCAGAAAGGATTAATTAACTATATTATCAATTCTACCAACAAGGTTTTTTTATTTATCATCACCATCATCATCATCATCATCGTTTTTTTTTTTGCAAAACAAATAAAATAAATTTTAAAAACATTCTTAATAATAGTTAGAAAAGTTGTTTAAATACATTGACAATTTTTTTTTTTTCTTTTTTTGTAATATCTAAATACTAAAGTTGGTGTTGTTTATATTTTTTCCGTTAAAAATGGATGAGTTAAAGCATGATTTATGGACAAACGTTTCGACGAATCCAACATCATAATTTTTTCTAATAAATCTCTCAATTGACTAACTTTTCGTGCCTGATCGTCTGGAAGGTTTTGGTTACCGACTAATTCGGCATGTAAATCCCTTGTTGGCGTGATAGTTGACATTGTTACGATTTTTTCCTGAAATGAAAAAGAAAATTTCAGTGGATTAATAAGGAAACGTCTTCGGTTTTCACTCTTTCTCTTCTTTTTTTTTTTTTTTTTTTTCTACTCACTCTTTCCGTGACTTTGTCAACTTCGTGGTAAAGAAAATTACATTGATTGTCGAAATGTTGATCTTTGAATATTCCCTTTCTTATGACTTTGTTTGGTATTTTCCCCTTGAGATCCATAAAAAATTTCAACATTTGATTATTAGATTTTCCGGAAAACATAATTTTGCCAGTATAGAGTTCATAAATGGTACAACCAGCGGACCACATGTCTATTGCGAAATCGTACGATATACCTAAAACTAATAAAAATAAACGGTTTGATGAATCCATTCCCTTTCTTCCCTTTAGGGATTCTTTTTAATCGTAATCCCACTTACTTATTTCAGGTGCACGGTAAAAACGACTGACCAAATACGGCGTGATTTCATTGTCGGCCACGTGAGAAGCAGAACCAAAATCGCAAAGCTTTAAAACAAGCTTGCTTTCGTTGACTAATATATTATCCGGTTTTATGTCCGCGTGAAGGATATTAGCTCTTTTCAAAAGCTTTAAAGCTAACAACAATTGCTGACTGTAGGATCGAACAGCTAGAAAAGCAGAAAAAAAAAAAAACGGAGTAAAAACAAATGATGGAAAACTTTTTTGTTGCCATCCATGATGGAAAAGGTTGGACGATACAAATCTTTTCATTTCATCTAACAAAATCAATCCAACCTTTTCCAAGCATAAATAAATAAACCTTTTATAAGGGAAATGATTATATGTGTGTGCATTCGTAACCGCACGTAAAATACCTTTGACATGAAGCCCGACATCTTTACCATATTTCTTAAGAACTTCTCGTAGGTTCATGCTGAGAGGCTCGAAAACTAAACACAAGTGACGCTTGTGAAAAAAATGCCTGAAGAGACGGAGACAATGAAATCTGTCGTCTGGATCCGCGTCATTTAACCTCTTCAATATGTCCAATTCCTTTAAACCCGTTTTATGCCTTTGAAAAAAGCAAATTTGTTTAAAATAATGAACCAAACATTTTACTTTTGTTTTTTTTTTTTTCGGGACGTTTTATTCTTATTTTTTTTTTATTACGATTGTTAATTTATTTTATAATTATTTAGTGGCTCATTTTATGTAACATAATTCAATTTGAAAAATGAACCATTTTAAAACAAAACATAATATTAATAATAATAATAAATTTTTTTTAGTTTTCCCGAAATTGAATTTTTTCTTACTGAAATTAGTAACCGAAATAATTAATTTTAATTTTTTTTTCGATAAATGGTTCAATTTCCAAACAAAGAAAGACAAAAGAATAAAAAAAAAAAAAAAAAAAAAGAAGGGGGGGGAAGGTGGAGTTGTATTGGCCTCTGGCGGTCTTACCCTTCAGTTTCAATCTTCAAGTTGTCAATTTCTATACCTGAGAGGAATAATGGCGGTCCGTGTTCTGGCACCTTCCTTAGCTGAAAATTGAAAAATTAAAAAAAATTGATAATTTTTTTAACTTATCACTTTTTTTTTTTTTTTTTTTTTTGTTTTTTTAACACAAACCAATTATTCTCTCAGGTATAGAAAAAAACTCTTTTTTTTTTTTTTTTATTCGATAATTATTAGCTTGAATCAATCAAGTTGCCTTAAATAAATAAATAACTAAATTATTTTTTTACTAAAAAATTACCCCAAAAAAAAAAAAAAAGAATGAGTTGAATTTAAATTCTCTCTAAATTATTATTATTATTTTTTTTGCCACTGTTATTTATTCGTACAGAGAAAAAAAAAAAAAAAAAAAACAAAAAATTTAATTAAAAATTTAAATTCGAACTAATTAAAAATGGCAACTAAAGTCAGTTTTAAAGACTTATCTTGTTGAAAAACGACGCCGGATTCTCCTGGACGACCGTTTGATCAATCACACCTCGTCTCTGTTGAGCCAGTCCAGACAACTGACCCACTAGGACGTGTCACTGACTGAAAAGATTACAAATATACAAGCCAATTTCCTTAAAAAAAATTTTCCTTAACCAATGCAAATTTTTTTTTCTTTTTTTTTTTTTTTAAATCATTGAACATAGAGAAAAAAATTTAAATAATAAATTTTTAAGACACACAGACGGTTTTATCAAAAAAAAAATTTTTTTTTTTTTTATAAGCTTTCCTTTTTGTGGGTTGGTTGTGTTATGTGTGCTAACAACTTACAAAAATTTTCCTTGCCGATGAATCAAACTTTTTTTTTTTTCTCACGCTCCCCTCTGTCGAATCCGTTCGATTTGATGTTGATTCTCGTATCCATGAGAATAGAGGATACAACTGACATTTAAAAAAATTTCGTTTTAATTTAAACCGAGACTACATGTATAAATTATATACAAAAAAAAAGGGGAGGGGGGGCGCAGAATTTTGTACAAGTTTTTTTTTTAAAAACATTTCTAGTAATTCATGTAATGAATTAACTTAATTTTTATTAATAATAATACTAAGATTAAAAAAGTTAATATTAAATTTTTAGAAATAAAAATTTTTTTCTCTGAGGACCGCAAATAAATGGAAATCATTAGGCCAATACAGAACTCACCTTTAATTTAAAAATAAAAAAAAAATGCCACCGGAAAATGGCATGTATGTGCTTTTTTAAACTGTCTCACTCATACTTACATAATTTCGTTGTTTCTTATTATTTTAACGGCGACATCGAGGTTTCCACGAGCTCCATCTCTGGCTCGTACAACGTTTGAAAAAACTCCTTGACCGGTATATCCGTACACTGTATACCTTCCGTCCAAAACTTCACTAATTCTTACTCTATAATAACCTTCTGCATCATCCCAGTTATCCGTCAGGCTGGGATTTTCCGCAACAACCTTTTCCTTTGTACCTGGACTCTAAAAAAAATTCACAAGAAGCAATTCATTTTAAAACATACAAAAACTATTAGATATCTTAATTAAAAACATTTCAAAAAAGATTTTTTTTTTTTTTTTTTAAATTCTTCTCTTTTTTATTACATCATACTGTTCTCCGAAATTATCTGCTTCGGCAAACATATCAAGCTCATTTTTTTTCTTTTCTTTATCTTTATCCTTATTTTCTTCGGGTTCTACATCAAACCTTGATTTTTTTTTACTCTTTACTTTTTCCTCATCGACTTTAAATTTGTTTTTTTGATCATCGTTTTGTTTTTTCGGTTTTATCTCATCGTTTTTTACTTTTTCTTCTACAAAATTATCATTCACTTTGTCTAAAAAAAAAAAAATAATAAAATACCGTAATAAATAATCTCCTCAAATTTTTTTTTTTGTCGAGCTTAAAAACAACAGTAAACCTTGAGTGGATTTCATTGGTGGCGCGTCACTAACAATGGATGGATTAGATTCTTCACTAACTACACCCAGTCTTTTAAGTAACTCTTCTCTTTGTTTCCTTCTCCTTTCAATTATCGTTTCCTCATCCTCTTCATCCTCATCAATTTTAATATTGGACAAGCTAAAAGTAATAAAAGACACGAATGGCACAATTATTTCATGTTACCAACTTACTTTTTAAGACAAAAATTAAAATAACAGATTAAACGAATTGAATGTAATAAAAAAAAAAAAAAAAAATGGATACTTACTCTTCTTCAGAGTCACTAATATCTATTTGCAATCCTTCAGACAAACTATCTTTGTACTTATCTAGTTTATCGCTTTTGGTTTTTTTACGGTAAAGAGAATGCTTTGATTTGTCTTTATTTCTGGAACTAAATAATGATAATAAAAATACAATACTTCTTTTTTTTTGTCCAGCAACTTTTTTTACTTTTACTAACCTTATTACATTGTTACGTCTACTACTACTTCTGTCCCTTTCGTGCTCTCTATCCCTGTCTCTATCTTTATCCCTATCTCTCTCTCTTTCCCTTCTTAACCTATCTCTATCCCTGTCCCTGTCACGTTCTCTATCTCTCTGTCTTTCACGTTCCCGATCTCTTTCGCGTTCTCTTTCCCGTTCCCTTTCTCTTTCTCTCTGTCGTTGACGCTCACGTTCTTTTTCCCTTTCTCTATTAATTTCGGTTCGCAGATCAACTTCTAATAAAATGAAATCCAAAGATTCAAATAAAAAATTATTCAGCAGTTATTACTCTTATTAAAGCATACAATTTTACAATTGATTTTTTTACCTTTTCGTCTATCATTTTTTTTATCTCTAGTTCTATCTCTAGATCGTGATCTTACGGGAGATTTATCTTTTCTATCTCGATCTCTGTTTCGATGCCTGTCCCTGTCCGAATTTCTTTTATCTTCTTTAACCTTCGTTACTTTTTTTTCTTTACTATCCTTGCTTGTATTTCTAAAGTTTTAAAAAGCATTATAAAATTTTAATAATTTAATAAAAACAAAAAGTTTAATAAGTTAAAGTTGAGTTTGTACAAAAAAAAAAAAAAAAAAAAAAAAAATAAACACAAACCTTCCACTAGATTTAATTTGGCTTTCTTTTCCTGAATCAGAATCATCGAGTAAACTAATAAGTTCTGGTTTGTTTTCAGTTTCTTTTTTTTCTTTACTAGAATTTAAGGGCTCAATTACTTCCCCATCACTCGCCTCTCCTGATTCACTCGAATCAATATATGCACCTAATCTAGCTTGTAATAAAGCCTAAAATTAATAATTATATATATTTTATTAATTATTAAGTACTAGTTTCAAATGAATATTGGTAATAATAATAATAAAAGTAGAAAACCTTCTGCCTCATGAGGTCCTCCAAATTCATGTCTTCTTCTATTGCTGGAACTTCTACATCTGAATCCTCATTTGCTTTAGTAGGGGTTACAGATTCCTCAGAAGTTTCAGCATTTGCTAAAATTTGGTCTAAAGCTTTTATGGCTGAGGATCCATTTTTCATGTTTTGAACTGGCGGATTTGTTTTCGATATAGAACCATTCTGTAATTGTTCTTTTACACATTCTTCTTTAGTAGGTACAACTTTGTCATTTTCAACCTTTTAATTTAAAAATAATAATAATTTTATTAATTTTTTAAAAATTAATTATGAATCAAGCGAATTAAATCATAAATTAAAAATTATTAATGAATTAGTTTCGTGTAACGAAAACTTTTTTCAAAATAAAAGTTTTTCTTTTCAATATATATCGTAAATGTACTGTGACTATAAAATAAAATTTGAAAAACTTCTTAAAAAAGTCATTATTATAATTAACAAGTTCAAATAATGCTTTTCTATTCAGGTATTTTTTTAAATTTATCATAAATGAAATTCATTGAAATGAAAAATATTACCTTTTTAGCTTTCTTATTAGGAGTTTCATCTGAAGATTCATCATTTAATTTGTGTTTATGTCTTTTTTTATATTTTTTTTCTTTTGAATCTATTGATTTTTTATGTTTATGATGATGTTTATGCTTCTTTTTTTTCTTCTTTTTTCCTGCTGTTGAATCCCCAACATCTGATTTATGTGTTTCTTTTTTTTCTGATAAAATAACTTCTTCTGAATCATCAGAAGCCCTGTAAACATATTACTAAACAATTACAACACTGCCAAACGAAATTAAATGTATTTAAAAATGAATTTTTAAACATTAATAAATAAATTAAATGACACAATTTGTTTATTGAAATAAAATTTTATATTGATAACATAGTGAAAAATCCGGAATTAAATAAATAATTTGAAAATTACATTTAAAAAAAGTAATTAATTCAGTAAAATAATTAAATAATTTTAAAATTTATAGGCATTAGTATCTATTTTAGAAAAAATGTAAAATATTCGTAACTAATAGTATAAAAATAAAACCTATTAAATTTATTTCGTAAATGTTTGTTGTAGTAAATATAGAAAAAAAAGCATAAAAACTTAAAATTGTGTAAATCTGCTTTGATTTAGTTGATTCGTTAAAGAAGAATCTTTGAAGTAAAAGTATTTTTTAATATATTTCACTATATGTATTACTTACATTATATTCACCAATTTTTGGCACACAATTTGAGAATAAATAAACCACCCAAGCGTCAAGATTAGGTGTGTTTACTCAAACGCAGTAAATTATACAGTAGAATGGAAAAAGAGTTTTAAGGTATGGAAAGCAACGTGTCGCTAGCATCGTTTGCTACTATTCAAAGCTGCCGTTTCATTAATTTCCTTCTTTTGTTTTTGGATTCATGTCACTGTCTTGAGTCTGTTATAAAAAAATGTTCGGTCAAGGAGCTGCTCCAATTTTAGTTTTAAGTAAGTATATAAATCATTAAAACATATTTGAAATTATTTAATAGCAACTTTTTGTAATCTATAAATTTGTATTTATTTTGTTTAGGTCAAAATACCAAAAGGGATTCCGGCAAAAAAGTGCAAGTGGAAAATATAAATGCCGGAAAGGTACGTATTTTCATAAGCTTAACATCATTTAAATTGTCCCACACGTGATAATACTCATGTGCCCTATAATAATTATTATAAATCAAATATTATAATTGTAATTATTAAAAATTAAATTAAAATGAAAATTGTTTTATTTAAAATTTCACAATTTTGATGAGATAATATATTTTATCAATTTTTTTTTTTTTTATTGAATTGTGCAAATATATAAATGTATCTATGACTCATTCATGCTTCAATGAAAAAGTGAATATATTTTATAATTGAAAAAATTTTATTGGAAAGATGTGATTATGTTATAAATTTAGTATTAAAATTGTTTTTTTATTTTGGTTGAATTTCTATAAAAGATATCTATCTATTGTAGAAGATTTTAGAAATCAACTTAATTTTTAATATATTTAATATTCCTTTTAACATTAAAAGTATTTAATTAATTATTATTTTAAAAATAAAATTTAAATTAATGTTTAAGTTATTAAAATTAAAAAGGTACATTAATTTTTTTTTTTAGGCTATTGCTGATGTAATAAGAACCTGTTTGGGTCCTCAAGCCATGCTAAAAATGCTTATGGACCCAATGGGTGGTATTGTAATGACTAATGATGGTAATGCTATACTTCGTGAAATCACAGTTCAACATCCAGCAGCAAAATCAATGATTGAAATTGCTAGAACTCAAGATGAAGAAGTCGGAGATGGTACAACTTCTGTTATAATTCTTGCTGGAGAAATGTTAGCTATATCTGAACCATTCCTTAAGCAACAAGTTCATCCCACAGTTATTATAAGGTCCTATCGCAAAGCTCTTGAAGATATGATACATGTACTACAGCAAAACATTTCTGTATCTTTAGATGTCACAGATAGAAAAAAAGTTGCCCAAGTTGTTGCTTCATGTGTTGGTACTAAATTGATGTCAAAACACATTGAACTTGCAGTTAACATAGCTCTAGATGCAGTTCAAACTGTTTTATTAGATGAAAGTGGAAGAAGGGAAATTGATATTAAAAGATTTGCCAAGGTAGAAAAAATACCTGGAGGAACACTTGAAGACTCTAAAGTATTGTCTGGAATAATGGTGAATAAAGATGTGACTCACCCTAAAATGAGAAGATATATTGAGAATCCTCGTATAGTTTTGCTCGACTGTTCTCTTGAATACAAGAAAGGGGAAAGCATGACAAATGTTGAAATGTTGAAAGAATCAGATCTTACGAGGATGTTAGAATTAGAAGAAGAATATGTTCAAAAGTTATGCGCTGACATTATTGCTGTAAAACCTGATGTCGTATTTACAGAAAAAGGTATATCTGATTTAGCTCAATATTATCTTCTCAAAGCTGGTATTTCTGCTGTTCGAAGAATTAGAAAAACGGATAACAATAGAATTGCACGTGCTTGCGGAGCTACCGTCGTTAATAGAACTGATGAACTTAAAGAGGAAGATGTCGGAACCGGGGCTGGTCTTTTCAAAATTCAAAAAATAGGAGATGAATATTTCTGTTTTATCACAGAATGTAAAAATCCCAAAGCGTGCACAATATTACTACGCGGTGCCAGTAAAGACGTTTTAAATGAAGCCGAAAGAAATCTTCAAGATGCGTTGCACGTAGCCAAAAATATTATGCTTGATCCGAAATTGGTTCCGGGAGGTGGAGCTGTTGAAATGGCCGTTTCTAGGGCTTTGATGGAGAAAGCAAAGAACGTTGAAGGTATTGAAAGAAGAGTTTATGAGGCTGCTAGTAGTGCATTGGAAGTTATCCCTCGTACATTGGCCCAAAATTGTGGTGCCAACGTAATAAGAACATTGACCGCTTTGAGAGCCAAACATGCCTCGGGTGGCAGCACTTGGGGAATTAATGGCGAAACGGGAGAACTCATTGATACAAGCGAAGCCGGAATTTGGGAACCTTTTTCCGTTAAAAGTCAAGTTTATAAAACAGCCGTCGAAACAGCCATTTTACTCTTGAGAATTGACGACATCGTGTCCGGTTCTAAGAAAAAAGGTGATGCCGATGAACAACCAAAAGCAACAGCAAAAACAGCCGATGATCAAAATTAAATAATCTCAAATAACTATTTTTTTTTTTTAATTATTATTATTATTATTTTTTTCTAATTTAATTTAATAAGTTAAAATATTATTTAACGCCGATAGGATTTTTCAATAAATTTACTAACTAACTCTTGAGTAAGCTTGTTTTAAATTTTTTAATGTTATCGTCATCGTCATCATTATTATTATTATTATTATTATTACTACTACTATTACTATTAATTATAAACTGATTCTAATTCACAATAAATAATTTTTTACCACATTTTTTTTGTTCTTATTGTTTTTTTTGAATTTGAAATTTTCTTTCCTATACTACATCGGAAATGATAATATTCTTCAAAGGAAAATATGTAAATGTGAAAAATATTAATTTTATCGAAGAAAAGAAAAATTTTATTTTATGTTAATTTTTGAATTCATCAATTTATTACTACTGCAAAACTATTGGATATAGGATATAATTGAATTTCAAATTAAAATTAAGGATTTAAAATAATAATTATTTTAAGTAAAAATTATTAAAAAAAATATTTATTAACAATCAAAAAAAAAAAAAAGAAATAAATTTTTAGAGAAAAAGTATTTAATTAATGTTTTAATACTGATTACGATTAAAAGTTTAACTGCTTTTATTCTTCATTAGCACTAATGCATGCTTTTACATCAATCCAAAACAAAAAATTTTTATTATTATCATCTAAAATTTTATTTTCTATAAATTCCCTCACATGTTTTTCTATCTTTTTTTCTTTTAAAAATTCTTGAATAACTTCGACAAAATCATCAAAATCAAGATTTATGTGAGAATATTTTGTATTTAAATCTTCATCATAGTTTGTTTCTACTTCGCAGGCAAATTCATTGAAAAAATTAAAAACAGAATTTAAAAAGTTTTCATGCTTGCAACACAATTTTAAAACTATTTTTAATGAATTTCTTTTTAATAGTAAAAACCATAACTTTAAATCGTTTTGTTTTTTTAATATACTGATAACCCTTTCGATCAACATGACATTTTCAGGTTCGATACAATATAATATACCATTTAATAAATCTAATGTTTGAGTTTTCAATGCATTCAACAATTCAATACTTAACATTTTATCATTACAAGAAAATAATTTAGATAAAAGAGAATTGACATTTTTATAATTAATACTAGTTTCATCTTCATTCGATATATTTTCAAATAAATTCATTAAATTTTCCCTTAATTTTAATTCCATTGATATATCATCTAAAACATTTTTTAATGAATTTTCAGGTGACAAATCCGTATATTTATTCACTGCATACAAAGTTAAATTTTCATCAAAGATGGAATTGACTAAAATTTTTTTAATTAAATCATCTAAAAGTTTTTTAAAGTTAATTTCTGGATACGAAGCATTTAATTCTCTTGACAAAACAGTACGTTTTTTATTGCAAAACATTTTTTGAACTATGACAGCATTTTCAAAAATATCGTCGATTTTTTCTTCCTTTAAATCAAATAACCAAGATGAATCAGATATGGATTTAAGTAAATTTTTTATTTTCGATTCATCTAAATCTTCTGTTAAATAATCTAATTCCATATCCGATTCCATTTTACGATTGTAATCTTTTACAGTGCTAAAAAAAAATATGAGATTAATTTTAAAAAACATGTAAAAACATGTAAAAAAAATATCAAAATTTCAATAAAACTTTAACGGTTAATTAGTTTTTACTTACACATAACCTTACCTTGTTAAACAAAAAAGGCAAGATTTTGCGCTCGACAAATCACTTTCGGGTTTTATTACAAAACCTTTTAAGTCTCACTTTCACTTTTTATTTTATTATAAAAAAATTATGTTAAATTAATATATTTCAATTGATTGTACTTGATTAAAAAAATTTTTTTTTCAAAAATTATTTATTAATGTGATTAATTCCATAAAAAAAATCATATTCATTTGCATCCTTATAAAGTAATAGACTACCCTGTACATTAAAACAACTTTTTTCTACCCTAATTCATAAAAAACCCTACTTTTACCCTAATTCAAAAATTCATATTACTAACACTAAACTATTTTTACATACATTAACAAAGGGGAAAAAACATGACTTTTTTATTAAACTATTATAATTTTTGATAAGTTATTAACATGAGTAATAATTACACTATCAATTGTTACAAAAGTATTTATCTAAAGATTAAACCTAAAAAATAATTAGTAATTTTTTTACTTTATTAAAAAAAAAATTATTTTTTAGTGAAGTTATTAAATATCCGTTACATTATATATATAAGTTATTATTAATCCGTTACATTAAAAAAAATTTAAAAAAAAAACGTTTTCAACAAAAATTTTCCACAAAAAAAAAGATTGTCAAAAATGTTTAGTCAGAGAGTTTAATAGTAAGAGAAACATATTAAAAATTTAAAATAATATTTAAAAGTCAAATTTTATTCGGATGAATAATTATAGGTACGTTAAAATGAAAAATTTTTAGTTATAATTTATATTTTAAGTAAAAATAAACACATTTGAAAACTTTTTAATACTTTCATTACATGTTTTAAAACTTGTTTAATTTCTATACTTAATTTTAAATATGATTTATTTTCTTTGTGTTATTATTAAATTTCTACTTTAAACAGTATGTTTTAAAAGAACAACAAAAACAACAACAACTTTTTAATATTATTTATTTGACATTAAAAAAAAAAAATTTTTAATAAAAAAAATAATTATACAATCAAAAAAAAAAAAAAAAAAAAATGCTTTTATAATAAGTATATAATGAACTCAACTGTATTTTTTTTTACAAAAATTTTACATTATTTATTATATAAAATCCTTTGTTATGTCTTTATTAAAAATAAAAAATATTAAACAATGTATTATTTAACGAAAAAAAAGAGAGAGAGAAAAATTATTTTCAATATTATTAATTAATTAATAATTTATTTATTTCTCTATATGTATTTAGCGATATAAAACTTCATGTATGCAATATATATACTCGCGTGTATTTAAAAAAGTATAATTTTGAATTTGCAGGAGTAAAATTTCATTTATAATTATTTCGATACGTGCATTATTACTCTATTTCGAAGTGTCATTTTAAAAAAAATGTAAATAAAGCTATTTATCCACATAAAACTTATATGTAAACGTTTCTTTCATCCTACATATCGAAAAACATATAAATAATAAGTAATTGATATTTGGATTTATCAGTTTTAGGTTCGATACTCGGAATATAAAGAAAAAAGGAAATAGAATTTTAGTTAAATTTTGTTCCAGTGTGTATTTGTACCTGTTCCTGAAATCGGTGACACCATTAAAAATTTTTTTTTTTATTAATAAAGTTAGTTAGTGGTTGTTAGTGACGATAATAATAATTACGAAAATCGGAAAATATGTTTTAAAAGTATTTATTATATTCAAAAAAAAAAAATAAGTATGTTAAATATATAAAAGGTACGTTAAATAACTATCGAATTAATTAATTAATATTATTTAAAAGTAAAATTTTAATAACTAAACGACGAAAACTTTTAATTTTAA